TGAGGTCCCTTTCAGAATATGGCACCTAGGGACAGGAAGTGAGATTGGAAGTATGAAGACCTGAGTTCCTATCTTCCCTCTGCCTCGGTGACCTTGGGCAAATCGCTTCTCTCTGAGCCTCAGTTTCGTCATCTGTAAAATGAAGGCATTGGACTCAGCCGAATCTCTGATCTCAGCCACTGCTCTCTGATACTTAGATTTCAGTGTGACCCATCATGCTCATCTTCCTTCTCTCTCGAACCCTCTCTGCACTTCTGTGTGGAGGCGGTAATGTCTCCTCCCCACAGTGCTGAACTGTCCAACCTCCACGGTGCTGAACTGTCCATTATCGATACCCAAAGCCCCCCAACCTCCTCCCCCCCAAGCCAGAGCCTCTATTTAACAAACAGGTCTCCTGAACCCAAACTGACAGGCCTCAGTACAGATTTATAAGGCTTGATGCTTATTATTAGCCTGTAATTGGAGTTGTTCTAACACCTAATAAGCCTCGGTCGGAAAAACAAAGGCAGGTTAATTTGTGATTTCCTCCCCTCATTCAGAGGCAAATTAAGTGTCAAGCAGCTAATACAGAACATCTTTCATTTTATGAGGTTTTAATTTAATTCTGCACCCTGGTGTTGATGCCTTAATGTCGGGTGGTTTATCTAAGGAGAGGAGCGATTTATAAACCCCTTTCCATGGAATCCTTAATGATAGGATATGAGAGCATAATTACAGCGGGCCCTGAGTCCTGCTGCCCTGCGCCGATCTGTCAGCATTTCCATCATTCGCACAAAAGATGCCTCTCTGGGGCTCGGAAGCTGGTTGTTTTAGTCGGCTCCAGGGGAAAAAAGGAGCTGGCACAACGTAAGCCGGGACCCACTCCCCCAAACGGCAAAACTGCCCACCATGTGCTCAGACCTGGAAGCCCCAGGCTGGAGCTTAAAAACCTTCCTGGCCTCAGCTGGCATGGCCCTCACTCTGTGCCAGACTGAAAACAGACTTTTATGAAATGAGGCATCCAAGAATTCCAGGTGTACAGGCAGCCCCTCGGCTTCACCACGCGTCATTTCCATCACTTATTAAAGAACTAGTGTTTCAAGTCAGGGCCTTGTTGGCTACAGCCAGGACCAGGGGATTTTCTGGTATGAAATCATACCCTCCCATCACCGAAGGCTGTGGACTGGCAACAGGTATCTTACTTCATGGGCCCAAGCAGCCTCTTGAGAGGGAGTATGCAATAATGGAGAGGGTACTGGACTTGGAGTCAAGAAGCCCTGGGTTCAAATCCTATACTTCCACACATTCTCTAGCAGTGTGATCCTGGGCCCCTCACTTAGTGTCTCTATGCCTCAGTTTCCTCATCTGGAAAATAAGGAAGATTGAACTTGATGGCTTCTAAGGTCTCTTCTAGATCAAGATTTATGATCCAATGTCTAGTCCAGCTCATGTCAGAATGAAAATGCCTGTGCCGAGGAGGAGGCTGTCAGACAAACAAATCAACAATAGCACTACTGACCCCCTTAATGCTTCTGAAGGATCAGCCACATGTGTCTGTATAGCACCAACTCATCTGGTTCTCCCAATAATCAGGTGAACTGGGGAGCAGGGCACACCAAGGTGCCTCAACTGTCAGCTGAGCAAATTCAGGCAGAGGAATGTAATGACTAGTCTAAGGTCTAATGAATAGCCTAAAGGATCAGAGGTGGAATCAAAACTCTTACTGTTATTCTGATACTTTTTTATTTCCCTATCTGAATTTTGAGAGAGAGAGAGAGAGAGAGAGAGAACAGAGACAGAGACAGAGAAGAGGAAGGGAGGGGAGAGGAGAGGAGAGGGAAAAGAAAGGGAGAAGAGAATGACAGAGAAAAGAGAGATGGATTAAAGGATGATAAATTGATAGATTTGAATATAGACGTAGATACATACACATTGGGAGGCTGCATGTTGTAGAGGGTAGAAAATGGAATTTGAAGTCAGGGAGACCTAGGTGTGAATCCCACCTCTATGCCATGCTAGAGAAGTTACTTCTTTTTTTCACTGAGACTCAGTTTTCTCAACTGTAAAATGAGGGGATTGGATTTGATGACCTCTCAGGTTCCCATCCAGCTCTGCATCTATGATCTTAGGAATCAGCTCCCTGGAAACAATTCAGTACCTTACAAAGTGGCTTAGAACCCTCACTATTATCATCATATCATCATCTATTAAACGTCTCTCAAATAAGTCCCCTCCTCTCTTCTGACACTGCCACCCCCTGGTACAGACCCTTATCACTTCATGCCTGGACCAATACAACAGCTGCTGCTTGGTTTCCCTTCCTCAAGTCTCCCCATTCCAGTCCATTTCCCATTCAGCCACCAAAGGGATGTTCCTGAAACTCACATCTGACCATGTCACCCATCCCCTACTTCCCCCATCCCTGCACTCAATAAACTCCAGTGGCTCCCTATTGCCTTCAGGAGCAAATACAAAATGCTCTGCTTGACATTCAAAGTCCTTCATAGCCTCACCCTTCTTTCCTTTCCAGTCTTCTTACACCTTACCCCCCACCACATATTTTTCAATCCAGGGGCACTGCCTCCTGACTATTGCATGCACAAACACTCCGTCGCTCAGCTCTGGGCATTTTCTCTGGCTCTTCTCCAAGCCTGGAATGCTCTCCATCTTTCATCCTGCTTACAGACCTCTCTACCTTCCTCTGAGTTCCAGTGCAAATCCTTTGTTTTACCGGAAGCTTTCCTCAACTCCTCTTACTGCCACTTGGGGACAAGTGCTTTGCAGGGACTGGCCACACAAAGGCTGAAATGAAACAATTCCTGCCTTCAAGGAGCTCACATTCTATCGTAGAAAGACACGAACCCAGATGAGTAGATACGGTACCCTGAGCCCCAATCACACTTCCTGTGTGGCCCAAGAAACACAATGGCAGCAAGCTATGGGAGAAACACCCTCTGGCCATCCTAAGGGCAGCTCCAGGGGTGGGGTGGGGGTGGGGTGCAGATGCACAAACAGCATCCTTCTAACCCACTGGGGAAGGAGTCCCCCCTAAACCCAGTTGTAGCAGAACTAACATTAGCATCTCCTTTCAGGGAGGGCACTCAAAACAAGAAGGCAAATATGAAGCTTAACTTTTTAAACAGTTTATTTTGTCAATGGACATTTTTCTAAAGTCTTCAGAGACTTTGAAGATGCAGGCCAGGCCAACAAATCCTGCCAGCCAGGCAAATGCTTAGAGGCTGGAACCGTTGCTTCTTCTCAGACAGCCTTTGCTCCAAACACATGTTGACGTAGCTGCCTTGAACACCGACAAAAGCTGATGCTGCACATTGGCAAAGAACAAAAGATTTTTCTCCTCAATTCCTATTGCCTTGAAGTAAATAGCAGACCACCATGGCCCAATGGGAATTGTGAGAGTCTACTCTTTCCACAATCAAGTTTTTAATATTTCAATAAGATCATTAAAAAAAAAAAATCCAAGAGCTCTTCTTCCACCAAACACATCACACACTCAAAATCTACGTGCAAATATAGCCAAGGGCTGATTGAAGCCAGAGCTTCCACAGTCAGCACTGGGCATGTCACTGACTGTGCCCCACCTAGATCCAGTATTTTAGTCTCCAAGGAAGAGATTCGCTCACCATGTACCACGAGATACGCTCTCGGCTGAGAATAGAATTGTGGTCTCATCCGCACTGTAAAAACTCTGTGGAATGGACTGAATGACATGTCACGTTTTGGCCTTAATTTGGAATTTCCTTCCCTTTGTATAGAAGACCTCTTTGGAGCTAAATGTATTTTTAGTTTGCTTCCGAACCCTATAAATGCTTCCTCATGTATCAGGGGCCTTCTGGAGGATAAATCACAAATTCCTGGTCCCTCTCTATAAATACCCACTTTTCCTTAATGCTTATGGGAGCTAGCCACGCAGATTTATTACCTCCCTCCAGGCAAATTTGCTCTGAAATTACAATCCTGTAATGGGAGATGGCTCCAGAAGGGAAAAAAGGCAGTGGGTAAAATATTATATGTGTACTTGGGCATGTAGTTAGGATTGTTAATATCAATTAATTCTGTTCACAGAGGAGGACTTGTTTTAAAACAACTTCATTTTTCTTCCGCCCATATGTAATTATGCAGCTGTAACTAATAGTCAGGGAGATGTAATCTACCATCGAAATAACTGGCCCAATTCTTCAAAGTATTTTGTGGGCTCCTCTCCTTTTATTGTCTCAAGATGGTGGATGTTTATTAGACATGATTAAATACACAGATCAAGTCTTTTAGCAAATGAATGACCCTTCTTTTCTCCTTCACAATGAGTCCTGCCCCTTCCAGCTCCCTAAGCTTGTGACAGCTTTTGGTCAGGATTATCAAAGGTATCATTTTATTTTGTCACCCTCCAATTCCTTTATCCTTCTTTGACTCAAGTAAGATAATATTTATTTCCCCTTTTATTCCTCCTTTCCTAATGTATGTTATCACCTCTATTCTTTCCTTTTATCTTTGTGTAAACCACAGGCTCTATCTCATTTACCATTTTGTTTGGGTGACATCCCCATCAATCACACCAGCCTGGTATATGCACAATGGGGAATATGAAAATTTAGCATAAAAATGTGATTACATTGCAGAGCAATCCCGAGGAGAGGCCTTGTGTTTGCCCAAGTTTTCACAAAGGAAAATTACAAAGTCCATATTTTTTCTTGGGCTCTTTCTGCAGGCTGGCTCCTCTTAAAATTTAGTATTTAGAGAGTAGTAGCCTACAGAATACATGTCGGTGGAATATATAGGTAACACTTGCCGACTACCTATTATCCCAGTCATTCCTAAGGAGACAGCAGGGTTCTTTGCTCCAGTGACTCCCCTAGCAGATAAACTCACTGCCTTTCAAAAGTAAATCTTTCCCTTCTATTAGTCCTTCTGAGCTCCCAGCATGTACCACAGAGAACCAAGAGTGTGTGTCTTGAGTCATCAGAGGTAGGAAACTCATCTCTTTAGTGTGCAAAGCAGTTACTTACACGTGCAGTGGAGGGATGGGAGACGGGTCGTAATGGTAACGTCCCTCATGATGTCTTGCATCGATCGGGACCGGAGGGTGGAATGCTGGAAAAAGATGAGGAGGGTCTGAAAAAGAAACAAGGTTTTCAAGACTTTAAAAGGATTCCATTTGGTGAACATCCACCCTGACCATCAACACACACACACACACACACACACACACACACACACACACACACACACACACACACACAAGCACTTCGTTTTCCTTCCAAGTCTGTGAAACTTAATTCCACCCAAAATATGAAATTGTTGGGGTTTATGTGATACAATTTTGTCCTCAAACTTCAAAGAAACTCTTTAATGGTGACAGCAAATATGGAAAATCCTGATGGAAGAATGGCTGAGCCACTGCTGTGCTTGGCAAAGAAAGAGAGACAGAATGAAATGAAGGAAAAACATCCTCCAGGAAAACTGTACAAGAGATCTGTGTCTTCAATACCTCCAAGTATAAGGAGACTGAAGAGTAGAATCTGGTCCTCCCACTGAGCCCTCTCCCAGGATCCACTAAGGGGCAATAGTAGGAGTACTGAAAGGAAGGAAAAGGAAGTAGTCACAAATGGAAAAGGAATGAATACAGACCTTTTGATTCATTTATTTGAGAAAAATCAAAAGGTTAACTGAATTTTTATGACCTAATGTGAAACAAGACAAGGAATATGTTCTCATATTTTTCTGTTTAAGAGTCCTTTGATGGATTCGAGATGGCTTCACTGGATCAAATTACAACCCTTTTATACCTGCTCTGGCTTATTCCAGCCTTCCCAGAAAGCCTAGAGAGAAGATCTGTCACCAAGCGGCTTTCCCTGGGTTCTTGTAAAATTTCATAGACACCAGGACTGCACTCAGGATGTCCGTCATGGTTCATCCATTCTCATGCAAAGACTAGCCCGCCATTGTTTCTGCGCATGTGTCCCAGCTATTGCTCTCCTATATACCTGTCATCCAATGCCCTCCTCCAAACTTCTTGCTTAAAATCATTTTAGGAACAAGTCTTCAGGAATTTCCTTTGGTTAATGGGCTAAAATAACAAAAATGATCACCACGACTTTTCTGGGGCCCAAAGCCTTGTGATGCAATTCAGTCATCTAAGTTGTTCTCAAACCTTGGCCCCAGACGATTCTGGGCATTTCCTCAAATTAAAACCACTTTCTCAATAAAGATGTTTACTGCTACTCAGACCCTCAGGCAAGAAGCCCAGGACCTAAAGGCAATTTCCAAAGAGGAGTCTCTATCTCCAGAGCTGATGACTTTGAAGGAAGTTAATACTCATCTGATTAAGCTATAGTTAGGTTTTTAAAAAGACAGACCTAGTTGATAGGCAGACTTCATACAGAAATTCAAAGCAAGACAGGTCAACATACTTTTCAGGGAAGTGGGGAGAGGCAGGGAGATATAGTGAAAAGAATATGAGACTTAGAATCAGGAGACATGGGTTCAGATCCCATTTCTGGGTTTAATGGGATGTGGCAGCTTTCTGGTCACGACTATTCATTACCTACGTGACCTTAAGCAAGTCATTTAATCTCCAGAGACATCATTTTCCTCATTAGTAAAATTAAAGAAGGGGGATCAATGCCATCTGATGTCCCTCCCAGTGCTAGATCCTACGAACTGTCAATTTGGAGCCAGAGAATCCATTTTTCAATCTCGGCTCAGTCACTTACTTCCTCTGTGACCTTGGGCAAATGACCTAATTTCTCTGGTCCTCAGTTTCCCCATCTGAAAATTGAGGAGGTTAGAGTAGCCAATCACTACGAAACCTTCCAAATAGAAATCAATTGACCACATGAGTCTGGAAAGAGGAGTGAGTAAAACAGCGAGTGCAGCGACAGAAAGCTACCTCCTGACGAACTCCCTAGCGAACTTCAGCACCCACTGCCGATCCCTAGCTTTCACACCTAAGAGGACCTGGGTCACAGTAAGAGGCCAGCTGAGTCACTGCTGGGCCTCTTACCTATCCCAGGATGCTTTCAGAGACGCCGAGGGGAATGATGTATGATGTACAGAGACCCACCATGGTGCCCAAGGGCAGAAGAGGGCATCCAAGGCCTTACCACACTTTCAGGAAAAGTCCATGACCCCACTGCGGATTCTCCCCTATGCAGCCAGTGGGCGCTGCGGCCTAAGCAACCACAGCAGAAAGAGGGAGACGGAGGAAGGGGAGCACAGCCAATCTAAGGCACTAGCAATTGCCTGCCGTGATGTGTTACCTAAAGGCCATGCTGGATGGCAAAAGCAATACTGAAAATGCCAGGGTAGGGAGGGTTCCAGTCACCTTCAACATTCAGTCCTCTGACAGTGCAGTCACCCTCTGCTCCTTCTGCCTTACCCATTTGGATTTATGTTTACTATAACATACGCCCCTCTTTAAGAAAGAAGTGGTGCAGAGCAGAGCAAGGGCTAAACTTGGAGACAGGACCACCTGGCTTCTAATTCTGACTCTTAGATTCCTTAGTTAGGAGCTGGCACTGGTCTCATCAGCCCTAGTCGGACAACATAGTGACGTCATTTTGGTCCTCTTTGTCAACAACAATGTGGTATGAGGCAAGTAACGTACCCTCTCTGATTCTTTAAATTGGGCACAGTGCTAGTACCTCCCACCCAAAGGGATGGTAAGAATCAAGTGAGGTGCTGTGCATAAAGGGCTTAAAGGGCCATTGGAACAGTCACCACTACTATTGTTATGATAGAATTCATAGAAAAAGAGCACTAGGACAAGTCATTCACCTGTCAGGTGCTTTGTGTGCTGAACATTCTGGGGAGAGGAAAGAATAGTTTGCACAAACTTATTAGGTCACAAACTCATCACCAGTAGGCTAACAGAAAGCCTCTTCAAGGAAACCTAAAGAAGCAGACAGGACAGCCAAGGGCAAATAGAAAAGACAATATTTTTAAATGCCGATATGTACCAAGCACCATGCTAAGGAATGAAAAGTCAGATAGCCCTTCAAGAAGCTCACATTTTAATTGAAGGAGACAAGGTATGTGGGAGAGACAGCTGCAGGGACACGGCAAGACCCAGAGGTTCCTAGAATTCATCAGCAGAGAGGATAGCACTGGGTATGGGTAGCCATATCCACCCCACAAGCAGTATCCTGGAAGGACCCAAGGACCACAACAGATGGAAAGGGGGAATCTGGGGAGATCAGAGCAAGAGACAATTGGAGAGTTTTGGGGGGAAATGTCCCGGGCCAGTCCAGTAGTCTCCAACACTTAGTGCCCAGGCGTAGGAATCTAGGAAGGTGGAGAGTCAGCCTGGGACCACTGGGTAGAGGATGGCAAGTACTTCTTCCTGTTCTTACATGAGGTTAATTTCTCCTGCTAGGCTACCGTATTTTGAAATATTTTAACATTATGCTATTTGGAGATTGTGAGTATTTAGTACGAAAAATATTTTAAAGTGTTCTTTGTAAATTTTTTTGAAACAATGTTATTGCCAGGTAGTCACAGGCAACAGTTGAATCAATGCTCAGTTCTTCATAGAATTTGTTTGTTGAATTTCCAAGAATGGCTTGTATTTGTAGTGTAGGGATGTGTCATCTTTTAGTTTACAAAAGATAGTGAGCTTCTGGAATGTAATTCTAACCATTTGATTATGTCTTTCCATTTTTATAAGTAAAATTTTCTAGCTACATTTTTGCAGCCTATAGTGATGTTCTGCACAGCCCCTCTTGTTTTATTGCATAACTGCCATTGATCAATACACCTGGGCTCCTTAAGGACAAGCTTTCTTTAATATTTGGTGGCAATGACCAAATCCCAGATTCCAAATAGATGCCCCGCTATGTGTGTGAACAAATCTACATGTCACAGTCATTTCTTGTATTTCTTTGCTGACACATTGATACTTGAGTTTATGTAGATGTTGCAAAAGAAGCAACCTGTTGATTCTACTCTGAGGCCATAACTATTTGTATGACTCCACATGGAGATGAACCACTTTTGTCTACATTTGACAAATGGATGGAGTATACTTTTCAGCACCTACTGTAGTATTATGATGGAAGGTGGGGCCTCTTTTCTCCAGAATTATTTCTGTATTTTCCTCCTGATTAGTGTGTTGTTTGAAAGACTCTACTTTTCCTTAGTTTCTTTTTTCATGAGGAAGTGTTGATTTTATGGCTGCCTTGGTGTGATGAGCCCAGTTTCACTGATACAGCATGATGGGACTTTGTTTGGACACTTTCTAGACTGTTGTCTACTTTCCTGTACCAAAAGTATACATCAAGACTGTTGCTTAGAAGGTACTAATTGATCTAAATGTGCTCTTCCCGATAAGCTTTGTCTTCTGAAAACCAGCCAGCCTCAATACACACAATCTCAGCTTGCTCCTCAAGAGCCTCCTGCTCATTGTCTTGTTTTAAGAAGACAAAGGCATTGGTAGGTATCACCGTCATCCACTAATTCAAGTTGACCTCCAGATTCAAACTCAAACATTTCTGTTTCTACTCTTCCTTTGAGCACAGAAAACCTTTAATTCTTTGAATCTAAATAGCATTTTGCTATCACTGGATAAAATGTCCATGAGATGAACTCTAGTCCCTTTCCTTCTGAGATTACTTTCCATCTACTTTCTCCATATCTTATACAAATTTATTTACATGTCATCTCCCCATTAGAATGTACATTCCTTAGGGGCAGGCATTGGGTTTTTTGCTCTTCTTTGCATCCTTAGCACTTAGCACTTAGACTGACATGAAGTAAACACTCAATAAATGAAAATTGTTAATGAATTTTTCAAAATTCTATTAACTTAATGACATCCATGCACAAACAATTACTACAAAGTTTTCTTAAGACTCCTTCTTCATCTTAAGAACTAGATTCCATTCTATTCAGGGACTAGGAAAAGCCATCACAAGTTTAAGGTGTCTTTTTGGAACATGCCGCTTCTATATCAATTGTCCTTGACCTCATTGTGCTGGTAACATGTTTTAAATAGAGAATAATTTTCCACCTTAATGTCAGTTTATACTAGCTATCATCATGCTAAGATTTCTCTTAGCATTTGCAGCATATTGATTAAGCCATTGATGCAGAACTTAGTCAAGACTTTGTGATCA